CCGACCCCCCCCCCTGCCTCTCCCCCGGTGCCCCCTGCCCCACGCCAATCCCCTGGCTCCTGCCCGGTGCCCCCTGCACTACCCTGGTCCCCCGTGCCCTCCCCTGGTGCCCCCTGCTCTGCCTGAGTCCCCTCACCCTGGCACAGTCCTCCTGCACCCATCAGATTCCCAGTCTCCCCACCCCACCCAGTCCCCCTCCCAGCCCAGCCCCTTCTGCTTGCCAGCTGAGAGCACCCATCCCTGCCCCAGCTGCTGCCTGAGCACCAGCCTGGGAGCACCCCAGGGGGGACCCTGTGGTCCCCCTCACCTCCCCAGCCCCTCTCAGACACCCCTAAAAGCTCCCACTTGCCCACCAACCCTGGGCCATCCCCCCTGCCCCAGGGGGTGCCCCGTCTCCCACATCCCATCCCTGTGGCTCCCAGATCCAGGGCCCCGTGTCCTGGGTGGGCAGCAAGGGATGCCCAGGCAGCCCAGGGAGCAGGGATGCCACCTGGCAGGGGGCAAGAAGGGACACTGGCAGAGTGCTTCATGGAGAGCCAGCTCTGAGCTGTGTCCATGTGTCCCCAAAGCCAGGACAGAAGGACACTTTGGCCAGGCTGAGCCGTCTGGCTGGAAGTGCTTACAGCATGCGCACCCTCAGATGCCGAGCACCAGGCAGAGCCCACTGGCCGGAGGGGAATGGGCTGCAGGACACCTCCCCGGCAGCCTCGGCAGTGTCGCCTCTTCCCATCTCTCTCTGACCTGACACAAATGTGCTGCAAACGTTTGGCAGCGGAAGATAATGGCTGGGGAAAGCAGCCTGCTGCTGCCACCCCCTGCCAGCCGGCTCCTGCCAGGAAAGGCAGTGTAGGAATGGCTTCGCAAAGGGCTGCCGCTGAGAAGAGGCTGCCTCCCACTCCCCTTTTAAGTTGTCAAAGGTGTAATTAAAATCCTCTCTTTGCTTTGCCTCCCCCAGGCTGGTCATGGCCTGTCACCCCAGCCTGGTGGACCTGGCCTGTGCCGCTGCCTTGGTGTCTCTGCTGAGGTCCTCCCAGTCTGCTCACACTTCTCTCCAACTGGGAGCCCGGGCTGGAGCCAGGAGTGAAGGGAAGGCTCCCTGCCCACTGCTCCATTGTGTCGGGCCATCGTCACAGCCCGGGCAATCACTCAAAAAGAAAGTAAAATTGCCTTTGCCTTGCTGGGTTGTGCTCAGCATGCCCAGCGATGCTTTGTGTTCAAGAGCAATGAGACCTTCTGTGTCCCCAGTCCCATCCCCGGTGCAGCCGCGCTCCCCCCAGGTCCTCCTGGTGGTCCTAGCTCTTCTTTGCGTACTTTTTTCCAAGCCCACCTTAGCTACAGTGATGCACACTACACGATCCATCTTGGACACCCTTGTTAACATCAACACCTTGGATGAGGAACGCCCTCGTAAGCATCAACACCGGTACCGGGGTGGTACCGCTGCACCCCTGGCTCCGGGGGCAGGGCGGTTCATCCCTCCGCTGCTTTCCCCCCTACCCCAGAATGGGGAGGTTCAGCCCAGCTGCCCACCCGTGCTGCAGTTCACCCGGGGCCAGCGGCCCCATCCGACCCCCCGGCCAGCCGGGGCCTCCCCGCGGCCCGGAGCATCCC